ATGATTTTAAGGGTCCACTCAGCCTTGGGATGCCCAAGTCTGGGTCCATGAACTAGCAGGTCTGGCCCCTACAGATGCTTCCAAGCGGGTATGCCTCTGAGGGATTTCAAGCTGTGTGAGGTGCCACAGAAGAAGGGTCCCCAGGAACTAGGTCTAAATCTCACAGGATCACATTTTCCTCAGGGTTGTAATGTGTCATTTTGGTAACTGTCTTGGGTAAACTTACACAGTCTGTCAATATAAACACTGTGTAGATATAGGTTAAGGAGCTCTGGTAGTTCAGTGCCTAAGGCATTTGACTGCTAACCAGAAGGTTGGCAGTTCAAACGTATCAGCTGCTCTGTGGAAGGAAGATGAGGCAACCTGCCCCGTAAAGATTTACCACCTTGGAAACCCAGTGGGAGTTGCTCTGAGTCAGAATTGACTTGATGACAGTGGGTTTGGTTTGGTTTATATATAGATTTGTTTGGTTCACTCACACACACACTCCAGGGAATTGTGGGAGAACAAAGCAACAGTGCGGAGAAGGGCAAACAGCTCTGACTTGTGAGGTAAAACAAAAGGTGGGTTGTAGGTCTGGTCCTGTCAGCACTCTCTATGTGCTCTTGGTAAGTCCCATTTAGTCTCCAGGCCTCAGTTTCCCCACAAGGTTGTAAAGAAGCTCTCAGAAAAATTCTAGCTCTACCATTCCTGGGTTTCTCTGATCCTCCCTGAACAGCCAGTCCTCCTGAGAGTATGGGCAGCATAGGATCTCGCTTGGTTTCTCCTGGTAATAGGAACCAAAGGAACCACATGGAGCCTCTCCAAAGGGGCCATCCCAGAGAAAGAGGGGTGTTCCTCTCCCATATGCTAGCTCTTCATCCCCTGTCTCTGGAGAGTTTGTGAGAGGCTAGCCTAGGGGGCTTCAAGAATAGGCAAAGGCTGAGAATACCTCCTTTAGTCTGTGCAGATTCTGTCTACATGCTTTAATGTTTATCATGAGTATATTTTGTCTGGTCCCTGGCCCAGGTACCTGGGATGGGAGATAGAGGTGGTAGGCTGGGATTAGAACCCCATGTCAAGTTCTTATTAAGATATTTAGCAACTTTGCAAAAGGCCAGTTTTAGTCAGTGATGGTGGGACTAGCCAGGGATTGGGGCCCACTTCCAAGCAGGAAAAGTCCCTAGGAAGCCCAGCCCCAGAGCCAAACTATCTCACTGGAAAAGCAGTAGCAACCACTTATTGGTGCTCACTGTGTGACAGGCAATCAACCTCTACAGGGTGAAAAAAAAAGGATGAATGTATGGATGGAAAGACAGAAAGACAGACAAACTTCAGAACCTAAGTTTTAAATCTGAGTATCCTCCATCCTGCCTCTCACATCCTCCCCATGACTTTGGTCATGCGAGTCAGCAAAATGTCTTAACCACTACATCACCAGAGCTCCTTTCATACAAGCACAGTCAAGAGCTAACCTGGTGCTTAAAAATCCTTCTAGAAGGTGAGCTCCCTGGGAGCAGGGACTTGTCTGTCTTATTCCCAGTGTCCAGACCACTGACTGGTACATAGTAGGCTCTCAACAAATAGTTTCTAAATAAATGAATAAATCTAGTCCCACACTTTCACTACCCTATACAGGGAACTTGAGCTCCAAAGAGGCAATGGACCTGCCTGCCCATAGTCAAAAAGGGAGTCTTGGCATAGTTGGGGCAAGCCCTCAGGTCACCAGCCTCTCAGCATAGGACTCTCTCTTGTACAAAGGGCCCTGCAGCAAACTCCTCCTGCCCTCCTATATCTCTTCACACATTCCTTAATCCTCCCTCCCCCAGATTCTCACTTTCCTTTCTCTTTGCCAGCTGGATAATTAACCACTAGAAACAGAACTTACAATTACTCTCCCCCCCATGTCCTTAAATTGCTTTAAGTTTGGGCTACATGACCCTTGTCCTGGGTGAGGGCTGGGTTCCCAAAGGGGGATCCAACCTAACAGTCATCAGGTGGGGCCCTAGCCTCCCAGATCTGATAGCCAGCTGTACAGGAGGCCAACAGCAGATGGGCAAGGAGGGTCCCCAGGCAGGCCAGGGCTGACTCAGCTGGTGTGTCAGTGAGACTCTCATATGCTGGAACAGGGCAGGAAGGCAGGCAGGTGGATGGGTGGGCCAGATTTCTGAGTTATTGACAACAGGTGGCCAAAGGAACACGTGCTCAGCAGGACCCAATCTAGGATGCCTCTGGTTGGACCTGAGTCTCTCCTTGGATTATGGAGCCCACCCTCATGCCCCTGCCTAGAATGTGTCAGGCCATCCATGTCCCTGATGCCTCAGAGATAAATAGACCAGTACAATAAAATGACAAGAGCCCTACCCTTGCAGTTCCACAAGCTTGTTCTTCAGGGAAACTGAGGCCTGGTTAGCACTTGCTCAGTCTGGCTTCATTAGAGAACTGAGCTTAGCCTGCAGAGGAAGCCAGGTTGCTCCACCCTCACCTGGGAAGCATCCCTGACTCACAAGGATCTTGGGCCCAGTTGGGACAGGAAGGAGTGTTGAGGGTGGGGCAGGACTAAGGCCCTACCTGCTGGAGGCTCCAACCTCCTGCTTCTGGCTAGCTAAGTTTGGTCATCTCCCCCCACCCCCACCCCCACCCCTTAACCCAGAGAGATGAGAAGACAAGGGGTCAGGGGGAGAGCTCCTGTTCTTCAAGATAACCAAGGAAGCATGCTTGTTCAGTCTCAACCTAGACAGAGGAAAGAGGTATAGGAGGGAGAATGGGAATCACCCCTCATTCTCAAGGGACCTCTCTTATTTTCCCATGGTGTAATAAAAGTTCTGGACTTGAATTCCAGTATTTCCACTCACTTGGTATGTGTTCTTGGACAAGTTACTGCCCCTCATAGGATCTCAGCTTCCTCATCTCAAATATGAGGCAAAGCTTTCCATACCTAGGCAGTTTAAGAGGTTCAGTGAGAGAATGTGTGTAAATATTAGAGGTGGGTAAGCAAGGCACTGTCCAGATGAAGGACACTATGGCACAAGGAGATACTAAGCATTACTGTGTGGTCAGCACAGTCTGAGCACTGAGCTCAGATCACTCCAATCATGATGTCCATGCCAGGGCAAGTAGGCTGCTGAGCCAGTTACAAGGCTGCTGAGCTATCGGGGAGATTGCCCCATACTTTCCTTTCCATACTTTTCCCTCCCTCAGATTTTACTTAATGCTCCCACAGCTACTCCCAGAGGCCCCTTAGGAACTCAGTCCTCCACTGGAAAGGTGAAAGTAGCTGGTATCCTGGGCTGAGTGGACTACCTCCCAAGAACACTTAGTTGAAGAAGAGTGAAAAGGGCTTACTCAACCTGGGTCAGACTCCACCTCAGTTAAGAGACCCCAATCTGGCCTGAATCACTGGCAAGCAATCAAGTAGTGGAGGCCCCACCTGATCCAGGCACTTCCTTTGGTTAATAAGAAACCAAATAAACAGCCTCTGCCTCAGCTGGCTCTGGGAACAGCCCAGCCCAGGCCAGCCCTGCTCTAGCCCAATCTCCCTTTCCTCTATACTGAAGGTCTCATGGCTCTCCTTCACTTTCCTTCTCCATGCACTTCTCACTTCCCTCTTAGGCATGACTACTTCTTGGTTGGTTCACTGGGGCTTCCTGTTCTGGATCACTAACCAACAACCCTCCCCTTCCTTCCTCCTCCTCCTTTCCTCCATTCTTACCCATATTTAGCTGTCAGAGCCTCACTTTTCCTCCTCCCGTGACATCTGTCTTAGCCATCTCCATAGGGAGTTCCCTCCTAAGGCCTGGAGGCTGCTCCATGATAGAGCAGCAAGGCCCCAGGCCCTGCTTGAGTTTTTGCTGTGGAATTAAGGATAAACCCTCCTTAGGGCTCTCACCACACTCTCTGACCTGAGCAAATTACTCATCAACCTGTGGGAGGGCGACTGAGTGCTCAGTGCTGCTCTAACTTGAGGGTTTCAACTGCCAGCCAGATGCCCCCAACTATGCTATGGTGATGGGCTTTGATGTGGCCTAGCACTGAAGACAAGAGAACAAGATTCTTCTAACTGAGAGACAAACTGGCCAGCTTGAAGCAGCCCTGGTGCCCAGGGGGCCACAGTAGAGGCCAACTCTTAGGAAGTTATTTCTATCTACCTCCAGACCCCCAAGTGTTCTGAGGCAGGGCAGAGCTAGGCCTGCCAGCAGGTCTGTTCCAGATCCAGCCCCAGCCAGGTGGTAGCAGTAGCTGTGGATACACTCAGGTCCCCATGGGAAACCCTGCTTCCTATCAGTGCTCTCTAGCTTAGGCTGGTACTAGACTGGGAAAATGCCCATAGTCTATGGCAGGACACTGTAGCACTGCACTGCCACAAATGCTATAGAAATGTCAGAGGAAAATGGTCCCAGGTTCCATGGCAGCACAACAAAAAATTAGAGAAACTTTGAGGGGGGCAGCTGGAGGGGCATAGAGCACATCTAGTTCCATTAAGATAGCCACCCTCTTTCCATACTTACCCTGATCACCAGTGGTTTGGGCACAGGAAATCACACACCCACAGCCACACCCACACACACACAAACACACACTCTCATACACCTACATTCCATTTCCCAACATCATGACACCATTTTACACCCATTTCTCCATGGGTTAATTTCTTTTTTTTAGTTCTCATTTTTTTTCTAAGAAAAAAGCAACAAGAAAATAATTCAGAGTTTATACAAAACATCTTTACATTATTTTTTCCAAAAAGACTAGTATTTACACAAATGGCAACAGAAACAAAAATAAAAACCCTTCCAACTGCCACTTGGAAGGGGGTGGCTGTTCTGCTCCCTCTTCCACCTAGCACTGGGGTGGGCAGCTGGCCAAGGGGCCATGTGGCGGTGGATGGTATAAGGTCCAGCTCCTTCCACAGCCACTCTGGGAGTGCCTGCAAGGCACAGTCAAGTGTCAGTCTGTTAGCAGCCGTGCTGGAAGGGAGCTGGAGTCAAAGTGCACGGCAGGCTGGTCCAGGCCCGGGAATTCTCTTCCTCTTCCCAGGCCCCAACCTAAGATTGGGGAGCTAACAGGAGTTAGGTGGATGATAAGCCACCTGTACTGGAGCCCAGAAAAGGAGCAGGCCACCTGGTCTTATACCCACTTAAGTCTTCATCTGGGCCTCTGTTTCCCCACCAGACTAAATGATGCCAAAGGTGAGAAGAGAACAGGGTGGGGGGGGACTCCCAGTTAACTGTCCTCCACCCCCCATGAGGTCATCTGCCTGCAGCAGCTCTCATGTTCCCCAGGCAACAGCCAATTAAGACATTAATTACCGTGAGAGTGAGGGAGGCAGGAGATGCCCAAGAATCCCACAAGGAAAAGATGTGTGCACGTGTGTGTGTGTGTGTGTGTGTGTGTAAGGGTGGCAGCTACTACCCCACTGCCAGGATTAGCTTTGTAGAAGGAGGGTCAAGAGAGGAGGGTGAGATACATTGCCCAACTGTACTCTCCTCTTCCTTCATGGGCAAAAACAGCCCTGGCCTGCCCCTACCTCCCCAGAAATGCTGAAGAGTCTATAAAATAAATGTCATTCTATGCTTCCTGGCGGGCCACATCCTTCCCCAGCCTCAGCCCCAGGTCCTCTTAGATGGGCTAGGCTCAGAAAGCTTGGGAAGGGACTGCATTTTACATTTTTCCATGTTTCTTCAAAAAAACAGATGAAAATGAGTTGACAGCTAATAAATGAACAAAAAAGCATTAAAAGCAGTGATGATAGTGGACAAGCAGTCCTGGGAAGGGGGCATAGGGACGCGGGTGGGGATGGGGCCAGGGGGGCATCTCCCTGCCTTCTGTCCATCAGCATCCAACCCTGCCCACTAAGAAGGGGTGCCCCCACAGAGCCCAGAGGCCTGGTCAGAGGGGGAAGGCACAAGAGCATGGGGGTGAGGGGCACAAGCACCCTCTCCAAAGCCCAGGGAGCAGGGAAAGAGGGGGCTTATAAAAGCCAAGAAACTACAAAACTAAATACAAACATGGGCACAGCTGGTAAAGGGAGAAGGTATGGGGGAGAAGGAAGAGGTGTGGTCCAGACTGTCCTCCAGGGTCTGAGGCTGCACCAGGCACTCAGACCTTGTAGTAGATGTTCGCAGGGCTCTGGGGTGGCATCTCCTGGACGATGTAGACAGGATGCCCATAGTCCCCACTCACCTTCTCATAGTGGGGGCAGTAATTATTCTCTGTAGTCCGTAAGGGAATGATGATGTCACTGGGCTCGGTGCCTGCTGTGCCACTGGCTGCCTTGGGACTGGCCAGTGTACTGAGTGAAAGGGCAGCTGCCCGTTGCTGTGTGTGCTTTCGGTGCCGCTTGCGCAGCTTTAGTAGCAGAACCGTGAGGAAAATGATGATAAGCAGGAATATGACACAGCCAGCACCAACAGCCGCAAACAATGCCACTTTGGAGTTGAAGAAGCTGTCGGGGTCCCCACTGCCACCGCCGCTACTTGTACCTGGCCCGCTCTTCTCTTCCTGGTTCACAGTTTCTGAAGAAGGGAAAGGGAAGGTAGGAAGGGTCAGCCAGAGGTTCTAGGGAGACATGCCAGATCTTAGGCTAGGCCTCGGCCTGCTTTTCTTCAGAGATATGGCCTCACAGGGAGATTAAGGAATGGTTTCTGCTCTCTGGGAAACATTTATATACTCACCATGCTTGCCATCAGAGTCCCCTATGGGGCCCCGACCACGAGGAGCCTGTGTGGCCATCATGACAGTGTTGTCTGTCTCCTTGCTGGGCCAGCTGGTAGTTAGCTGCTCAGGTGTCATAGCATTGGGATCTAGGGGTGGGGAGAGGAGAGGTGAAAAAGAAGAACTCTGCCAGCACAGGTGCCCTTGATCATCTAGGGTAGGCCTAGAACAGCTTGTAAACTGGACCTCAAATTCTCAAACCCCACTGTTCCCTCCTCATTCTCAACACATCCACACCCAACCAGGAACACCTCTTCTAAAAGCCTAACTTGGGGGGCCTCAGACTAGGTACTCACCTTGCCCAACTTTCATGACAATCTTCATGGTGCGTGTCCGGCACACACCTCCCTCACGGTTCTCTAGGCCCTCTAGGCTCCCATTGGATGTAGCTGCAGGAAGAGGCCAAGGAAGTCAGGGGAAGAAAAAAGTCTGCAGCATTCCCCAGAAACCCTAGTGCTGCCTCAGCCAATAATAGGGTTAAAACTGGGAGTACAGGAATGGCATATAACTCCTACCTATCTGTGAACCTTTCTACTTCCTTCCCTCCCACCAGGAACAGAATAGCATAGACCAGATTGGGCCAGCCCAGACCAAGAAATAGCTCCTCCCACAGGGGCACTATTCCTCTATCATGTCCATGTCTTGACTCTGCTTTCTCAGTGGCAACAATAAGGTATGTCTTCTCATTCGGCAATGTTGCTCAGAGGAAAAGTAAGTAAAACTGGCATTATAAGGGAAACTTCCATACAGAGTGGAAGAAATCCTGGATTACAGGTCAGGAGATCTGGGTTGCAGCCCCAATCTTTTCCCTAAATCCTTCTGTGATATAGGGCAAGAAGCCCTTTCTCTTGGGGCCTCCCTCAGTTTCCTATGAGGAAAAAGGCTGAGAGCTGGCTGATCTCAGAGGTCTCTGCCAACTCTGCCATTCCCAAGATTAGATCTTAGTAGGCAAAGGAAATAAGAGAGAAAGCAACAAGAATTGGAGTTCTCTTCCACCCAACTCCTGGAGTGTAAAAGACAAGCTGGCAGTGGGCCCCTTGGGCAATATTGGGGCTGAGATTATAAGGCCAGACTGGGAGGAAAGCATGCCAGTCTTTAAAGATGAGACCAGGCAGGACCTTAAGTGTGTGCACTATCCTTGAACTACTTAGAAGCTCCCACTACTATGGGTTAGAAGAGAGTTAAGCCCAGGGGGAGAACCACATGGTGGATAGGACTCACAGGTAATATAGTAATCATGGTGCTTCTTGAACTCCAGGCCCATGTAGTTGGGGCTGAATTCCTGGAACTTAATGGTGAAACGGATTTCCTGTTCTGGTCTGTTGCAAGTGACCAGCACATTGGGGTCGAGCACAGTGCTGCAGGCAGCTGCCTGTTCAGGCCGTACCAGGTATAGCTTATAGTACTCGTAGGGCCGCCCTGCTTCTGCTCGGGGGCAGATGATGTCCAGCTTGTCTCCAATCTTCGGGTAGATCACCAGGCCCTTCCCACTCAGGAACCTGCCCAGAAAGGAGGAGATGGTCAGCCCCAGGGTTGGGGGCCCAGGCCATCCCAGAAATAGGGAAGGAAGAAAGCAATGCAGGCCAGGCTGAGTCTACTAGGTGGAAATGGTAACAGTACACATTCTTCCCTTCCTCCAACCTCAGGCTGATGGGGGTGAGGAGAGAGAACCACACTGCCAGTAGGGTGTGGAAGGAGTGGCCTATGGGCAAGGCTGCCAGGCTGTGACTGCTCGGCAGGGTGGGGCACTGCCTAGTTGGGAGAGCCCTTTGTCCTAATGTGGCATTTCCGCAGGGGACTGACTGACGTGGCCAATGGGCTGGGTATCAAGGTGTCAGGTCTGGGCTGCCTGAAGGTGGCAGCATCCTCTGTTCTCTTTCCTGCAACATACTCACATTCCTGCATAGCTGCTGCCACTACCTCCCCTAAACACACACACACACACACACAAACACACACACACACACAAACACACACACACACTCACTCCCACACAGCAAGTACACACATGCCTTAGCCACCACCCCCGCAGCTCCCAGCCAAGGCTGGGGGAGCTCAACCTGTCTAGGAACCATGCCTTCTCCCTCATTCTTGCTAATCTTAGGTATGATGGGAAAGATAGGAGGAGGCATCGCCTGGAGCCAAAGGATAATAAGTACAGTCTCTGGTCAGGTATAGCTCCACACAGCTCTCTACTCCCACTGCACAATGTCCTACAAGTGACCACCTCACCCCTACAATGCAAGAGCCTGAATCCCCAAACTTGAGCAGGCTCAATTCTAGGAAGAACAGAATGAGAGAAGGAGCCCAACTAGGGACAACAACACATGAATGATAGGGCCTCAGGAACCCCACTCATCTGGATTCCAATCTCCCCACTGCTACACTGCTGCTACCACAGGTCCTCAGAGGAGATGCACAAATGCTTTCTTGGGCCAGGTTTGTGTTTTAATCCAGAAGGCCAGGCACTGGGGGAAAGCAGAGGAAGGACAGCTATCCAGAGCCACTTGTTCATATGCCCCTGTCCTTGTCTAAACCTACAATAAGAAAAGGCACAGATAGTAATCAGTTAGTTATTTCTGAGCCTAGGAAGGCTGGATCTGAGAGCAAAGTAGTACCATATAGAAGAAACAAACACAGACTTTAGAATCAGACATACTTGGCCCTTACTAGCTTTCCCAGCTTGGATGAGCTGCCTGACCTCTCTGAGCTTCACTTTCCTCACTTGTGAATTAGGGAAGATACAAGCCCCTACCTCCCTGGAGGGAGATGAGATAGCACACATAGAGCACAAAGCACACAGTTGGCACTTAATACGTTTAGCTTCCCCTAAGCAATAATCTGTTAAGAAGCAGGAGGTCAGATACTAAGTACCTATGAGCCTAGTCTTGTTTCTTGGAAAGAAAATCAGAAGAGAAGATATAGCCTCATCTTGAGGAGTAAGAGACAGCATAAGGCTATCTGTAGGTTATGTGGAAGGATGGTGATTCAACCAGTAAATATTGGAGGCACTGAGGAGGAAGAGCTCATCTGACCAGGATGAGCAGGGATGGTTTCACAGAAAGGGCTGGATAAAAGTGGCTTCTGGGTGAGAAGTAAGAAATCAACACACAGAAAGAACAGACAGCAATATCTAGGACATAAAACCCAAGCCAATGATTTTTTCCAGGTTGGCTGGGGGAGAGTAGAGAAGAACAGAAGACAAAGTGGAAAAGATCAGTTAGGACCAAATCAAAAGACCAAGGATGACAATAAGTAGTAGGTTACATCCTATTGGTGACAAACTCTCAAGGAAGAAGGAAAACAAAGGGCTGAAGTCAGTGCTTAAAGAGAATGAAGCTGACAGTGCCAGACAGGCTCTTCTCGGAAGAGCACCAATTCAGAGGCCACTGCAATAACCTGGGAATAGACTGATTCCAGTGCCCTCATCCCAGGGATGGAAATGATACCCAGGTGGGAGAGTAAGGGAACTAGACCAAGAAGATGAAGGAGATGAAGAAAAGCAGCCCTCCTTTCATGTCAGATTAGACTCCACCAGGCTGGGATCTACCCAAGAAAAGCCTGATATTCAGGAGGGCAAAAGCCAAAATGAGAATGTCTTCACCTCTTGGTACCTAACTTTATTTCACTCCAGAGGGCCAGAAAGGAAGCAGGCATAGAATGGAGGTCCATTTAGACATCTGAGAGGGAGCGTCCCTACAACATGTTCATAAAAAGCCAACAAGTTTCACCAAAGCTTCTATAATTCTGAGTGCTTTTCACTTTCCAGTACTCCCACTGGTTGCATCTAGATAATAGCATCAAACAACTTCTAATGTCTTAGAACCAGAAGAAACCATACAGACTCATTGAGTCTAGGCCTCTCATGGGATAGAAAGAATGATCCCTTTGAAGAGAGATACTCAACGTCAACTCCAGGGACTTAAATCCATCCAGGATGTTAATCCTTAAGGGTCTAACAGGCTGAATTCCTGTACAGTTGCACCTCAACAAGGCCCTACCTGGAGATGACAGCAGGTACATAGAGTGCATGGAAAGGGGTACAGGCCAGCTCACCTTACTAACCACTTGGCCCTGGCTTAATCACTGGGGAGCAAGTCTTGCCTGCCCTGAGCTCAGTCTCCCATCACCACTCATGCCCTGGAATTGGAACACAGGGCTTCTAGCTACTTGGAGTTCTACATTCAACCCAGAGACTTTGACAAAAAAAAGATGTCTATATAATGGGTGGGGGAGGCAGAAGAAGGAAGGACTATTCCCCCTTACAACCCTCAGACTCTCTTCAACCTTAGTGAACAGTGACTTCATAAATATTCATCAATTCATTTGCATAGCAGCTGGCAGAGGGAAACTCACCTTCCCCTAAAGAACATCAGCCCTGCAGGAGGGAGAAGAACCTGATGAAACCCACTTCCCTTGACTCTGATCTACCATAATGGTGCCTTCTGAGCATCTTCCCCCACCAATGGGAAAACTGCAACTTGGCCTGTGAGAAGCCCAAGAAAGTGGCAAGGGGCTATGAGAGGTGGGTTTGAAGCCAGTGAGAAAGAAACCTGAAACCAGGTACAACATTAGTCATACCATACAGGGGGAACCTATGGGTCTCCCTGCTACTCACCAGATCAGGAATAAGGAAGGGTAAGATAAGAAGAGGAAGAGGTTGTACTCAAGTTAAACTCTTTATCCCCCATCTTTCAAAAATTACTCTCCCCACTATCAAACCAAGTTTTCCTGCCTGGGGCCACCCCCAGACAAAGCCCTTTTCTGGAAAATAAGGGGACTGACATGGCCAAGCAGGAACCCTGAAGCAAGTGGCCATGGTAACCCCTGAGGCCTTTCCTCCCTAGCCTCTGATAATCCTGGGACCTCAGAGAGACACCTCAGGGAGTAAAATGACTTGGGTGGGACAGCCTGAGCTGTTTCTGTTCTTTTCTTGTGACCTGCCTCTTCTCCTCCAACCTAGCCCAAGTCTCTCCTTCAGTCTTTCTACTGAGCTTTCTACCATGACTGCTTAAAAGAATCCTGGGATATAAGAAGACCAAAGGGCAATCCCTCCAGCAATCCCTAAGACCCTAGGATTGGTCAGATGCCAACTGACCCTGCCCCCCGCCAGGCTTCTTTTATCTAGCTGAGTCCTTTGCCACCCATACACATGTTATCTACATGTTACCTACATGGGAGAGAATTTGCAGCTATGTGGGGCATTCTAGAATCTTGTAGTCAAAAAGCAGCCAAAGGAGAAACCTGGCACTAGGCCATGAAAGTCCAAGTCTGGTAGAAGACTCTAGCTACCACATTGATTTTGTGACTCTACCACCACTGTGCCTGTACCCTGAAGCCCAAGCCAGAGCTCAAGTCTGCTCTCATCCCAGCTAGGGTGGGGAGCCCCCAAATTAAAGGCTCCTCTTCAGTCTACAAGCTCCACCCAGTCCCTGAGGCGGCAGGAGCAAGCCTGGCATGTCCCAGCAGTGCCCGCCCAGGCGTGGGTGGGCAGGAGCAGCAGCTGGGTCCTGGCACACATACAGTATTATCATAGGCAGGGAAGCCAGGAGAGTCCCAGCGGAAGTCACCCTCCCCACCTACTCTGATCTACGCCCTCCCCTGTGCCCCACATGGCCACAACTAGTGTCCACTGGAGGCTTAACACCTCCCTCCTCATTGTCTACTTTCTGTTGGGTCCCTGAGAGGAAGAGAGATTCCCGGTCCAGTGAAGAACCAAAGGTGTTACTTAGAGCTCAGGAAGGAGCGTGCCAAGCAGCCAGTTGACTGCCTTTAGCTTTGGACAATAGGAGGCAGACCAACCACAGTCAAATGAGGAAGGCAGACCAGTGGTCACTCCACACAGGCATGACCTGAGTCACAAGGACAGATGCGCACACACCTGTGAAGTGAGAGGGGAAACCAGGGGCAGGGAGTCAGTGTCTCTTCCCAAACCCCACCTTTAATATTTGTTTCTCCTAGAATCCGGAGCAGCAAGATGGCCCAGAAAGAATGGTACATATCACAACTCTTCCCTTACCAGCTCACTGATTATAGATACATCACTTCTCTTTTCTGAGCACATGCCACCTCATCTGGAAAATGGGGCAATGCTTACTTCCTAGGGCTGTTGGGAACACACAATGAGATCATATATGAGAATGCTTTGTAAGTAGCAAGGTGTTGCCTGACTTAACATGCCAGACACAGTATCATTTAGAAGAAAGAAGCTGAAGGTTACACTCCTGGATGTTAGCACCCCCATCCAAAACTACCACCATGAAAACACACCCAGGAAGGGTTGCTATGGTTCATGAGACTGGAATTTGGACTGTGACTGATGAGCATCCCCTCACCTCAGCTCCCCTAACGATCAGAGGGTGAACCCTCCCCAAAACCTGATGATTCCATGGCAACCATTGGCTTCCTGGCTGGCCCACACTCCTCATAATCCCAGCCCCTGAAAACAGTAATTCACAGTGTCCAGGGCCTGCCCATTCCCATCCATCTGAACTGGTGAGGCAGCAAAGAACACAGAGGAGAGAAAGTGAACCCTGTATTCATCCCCCAACCCAACTTTCTAGGCCTTTCTTGCTTCTGCCCAGAGGCCTACGGTGCAGGTGGGGAGGAAAGGGAACTGGGAACTTTAGGAGCTGCTGGGTTCCCATCACTCTCAGACCCACACCTGTGGCCAATCAGCTACAGAATAGAGGAGGTCAGGTCCCTTGCCACACTGGAACCCTGAGCTGGGCTCCCCAGGACTGTGAGTTGAAACAGCTGTGAGGAGGCTGGGGCCAGCATTTTTGCTAGGAGCAAGCAAGCATGGGTTAGGGTCTACAGCTGCCCCCATCCATGCTGAAGTCAAGGGTCCTGGACTCCAAGCTGGAAAGCCCACCCCCAGTCCCTTACAGGGAAGGTGTAATGTGATCTCAGGCACATTCCCACTCCCTGGAGGTGGGGGAACCTGAGTGGGGGGCAGGAAGGGGTCAGAACAAGACTGAGAGACTGAACTGCAGCAGCTGGACTTGGCTGAGGAGTCAAGTGTGAGCCCTGCTGGCTGCCCTGAGCTTCCCCAAGGAAGAAGCTGGGGGAGGGGGCTGCCCTGGGTCCACTTTGCTCATATCCCTCCAAGCCCCACTCAGGCACAGGCATACACCCAGGTCCTTGCTAACCTCTAGCCAGTTCCAAACTCACATCCCCACACTGCACTCATAGAGCAAAAGTGACAAGAGGGGGCCAAAGAGGGAGAAGCTCTTGACACCCAAAGACTACCACCCTGGAAGGCCCCAGAAACTCCTTGGAAAAAAGACTGGGAGTCTTGGGTCAGCCCTTCTAGCCCCTCTCCCTCCAGTCAAGGCTGGGGTTGTATTCTTCCAGGAACCTGAAGCATACCCCCAGCCCCACCACTTGTTTGTTTGATTTTTTTTCCCCAAGGAGAAAGCAATAAGGCAGGGTTTATAGATGCTACATTTTTTTTTTTTTGAGGGGGAGGCATTGTAAGCTCCTGACAGGGCTGAGGAGAGAGACCAAAAGCTGGGAGGAAGAGGGGAGGAAAGAGAGAAAATGAGCCTGCGAGGGAGCACACAGGCATGTGCGAGAAACAAAAGGACTTGAGAAAAAGAGGCAGAGAGTGACTAAGAGTGAGAGGGAGTGTAAGAAAGAGGGAGAACAGACAAGCCTAGCTGGAGAAACGAGGTGAACGCGGTGAACGCAGCTCACAGAGGGTGTGAGAGGGAGAACCCACATGGACTTAAGAGGGAAAACTCAGGTAAGAGGCAGAGGGAGAGACAGAGTCTGTTTATTTAAAAGGCTGTGGCAGCCTGAGGGTTGGGGACGATGGCCGAGGCAACCCCCAGAGCTGGAGCTTAGCTCTGCCTCCTTACTGTCCTCTTGCTCCCCCCTCAGCTACCCCTCATTCTTCCCTACCCACACTTCCTCACCTCCACACACAGACTGTGGCTGGATTCCAGACCTGAACATAGATGGAACTCTGGGGAGGGGGCAGTTCTGGGGGCACCTGATCACTCCCAGGGTCTGCTCCATTACAGGACAGAATTAATGCAGGTTCTACTGAGTTCCCACCCCCTCCCCATTCCCAGGATGCCTGCCCCCAACTTGAGGATGGAGGAGGACTGAGAGGATGAAATCTCCAAAAACTTGCAAACCAGTCTACAACTCTAAATGTTCAGAACACACAAAAAGGGGTAAACTCAGATAGCTCTTGTTTCTCCCAGCCTCCACCTCTTGTACTGTGCAGGAGAGCTCCTTTCCAGCTGTGGAGCTGTGTACTATCTCTGGTTAGAGACCCAAGAGAGCAATTAGGTCATTCCCATGAGCCCCTGTGATGGGCTACCCCAGGCAAATTTCAGCTCTCCTTTCTAAAGAGAGAGCATTTCTAGCCTCCACACTTACTGGGGAAAACTGGGTGCTTCACAACCTTTCCCCCTAGGCTGAGCAGCCCTAGGCCCCAGACCATTTTGAATCCATGCTGTTAGGAGAGTGCTACTTGCAGCTTGGCTATTTGGTCTGGGAGAAATTCTTGCCAATCCCTTTCCTTTCAGAGGCAGAGCCCTCTACTCTGACCCTGGTTTAGCCAAACCACTGACCAGTACTGGGACCCTAACTTAACCCAAGAACAAGAGAACTAAAGAAGCCACCTTCTCCTACTCCACACCTAAGATATGCGCCAACCCTGGGACCCAAGAAGCCAAGGCAGCAGGAGCCTAGGAGATTAGCAGAGAGCCCAGTGAGTGGACAGGAAGAGATTTTAGATACAGGAAACTGAGAGCACAGATAGGACAGGCCAAGGGCCCCAGTTTCCCACTAACAGAGGGTGTCACACACTGTCTGGACCTCCAGAGGACAGAGAGGAAGAGCAATTTTGACCCTGGGCTCCAACCTGAGCCCTGAATAACAAAAGAGAAAAAAAGGCCACAGGTCACCACAGCAGCCCCAGTGACTCCCCACTAACAGCCAGAAACCACTAAGCCACCGCCCTAAAAAGTGTATGTTGTGGGGGGGCTGGGGCATGAAGAGGAAGGAGCAGGAAAAAGTGAGCTCTATATAGCTGTCCCCCAACCCCTCAGAGAAAACTAAGCAAAACTCTCCAAACTAGAGGACACGGGGGGGGGGGGAGGGGGGCAACGGACCCGCCTGGGCAGGAATCACTCCCTTTCTACCCATCTCCCAAGCAAGCTTGGCCACCACTCTCCCAGGCAGGACCTGGAAGCTCTACCGCGGGCTCCATTGGACCCCCGACGAGCGCGGGATCGAGCGCCCCCACCCCACCCCCGCAACAACCCCTCTCCTACTCCGCCCCTCTCCGCTCTCCTCCTTTGTGATCCTGGGAGCAGCGCCCGCCTTCCCACTGCCCCGGCTGGGAGAAAAGGCGGGGGGGAGGGGGGTGCTCAAGAAGAGACAGCAAAAGCGAAAAGCCAGCGAAGCAAACAGGGAAGAAAGAAAAATGAAAACGGGAGAAACCAGAGTGGGGATATAGGCGCTGCCCACTCGCCCCAAGCGCAAGGTTCCTCACGACATTTCCTCCACAGCTAAGCAAACGAAGAACCTGTGTTCTGCCTCATCCCCTGCCCAAATCAAGCTCAAACAGGGAGCTGCCCTTGGCGAATACCGTCACGTTTCCAGGGGCCCCGAAGAGGGCTTCATTGTAGCTCACACACAACTCTGGGTTGTGCTCTCAAGCGCTCGGACTCCCCTGCTCCGCCTGACGCGTCCATTTCGACTTGATCTTGGACATGCACAGGAGAGGGCCGGGAAGCCAAGGGGTCACAACCCCTCCAAATGCCCCCACCCCAATCCGCAACACCCTGTCCCGCCAGCCCGCAAGAAAACACCAAAAAAATCTAGAGACAAAATGGGGCACCGCTCTTCCTCCGAACATCTCCCCACACGCACTTGGGGTCACGCGGTCTCACCTCGAAGGAGTGCCTCCCACCCCCGGGGACCAGAGCGGATAAGTTACTCACTTCGGATTCAGAGAGCTCCAGGACACGGGCTCCAGGTTCTTGGCCAGTGGAGTAGCAAGCCGGCACAGCGCCAACAAGACCATCGCCACAAGCCATTTGCCAAGCCAACGCTGCCCAGGCCGGGCCATCTTCCCGGGGGCAGGCTTCACTTCGGGATACCCTGGAACCTCCTCAGCAAAGCTTGCCTCGCTTTCCCGTGCTGCGCAGCGCTCTGGAAGCCGATCAATCGCCCATCCTCTGCAGCCACCGGCCTTGAAGTGCTCCACTCTTTCCGGCTTTGGTGTCGCTCTTCTCCGCCCGGCCGGCCAGGAGGACTCACTGGGCAGCCGGCCCCAACTCGGGCATGGGCTGCGGACTCGGAGGGCTCGTCCTCTCTGCCTTTCCGACGCACGAGGCGCGACGGGGGCTCTGCGCCCCCGGGTGATCCCGCCCGATTCCACTCGGCTCTCCGAGACTGTTGGGCACTGCGCGTCCTCTCCCGGACCGGGTATCCCCGCTGAGGACTTGGTGGCCGCCCCAACGCCTCGACTGTCCCAGGACTGGCAACCCTGAGAAAAAGTAGAGGTATCCCCCAAACACGAGCTTGGTCCCTGGGCTCCCCACTGGGTCGCCCTGGCACGGGCTCCGTTCCTCCGGGCCACACTGGGGCTCAGGGCTGTGCGCCCC